TTATAAATTTGTTTTTGATAACTTTGTCAAATTTAAATTTTCATTCATTGTTTTTCAGTTTTGGAACAGGAAAATGAGGTGACAAGATGATCTGTTTTACTTTAGCCTCTAGTAAATATACTTTATACATTTATTAGTGATCACACTACTTCAATTGCTGTATAACATCGAGCTACAATTTGGCAATAATAATTACAAATAAATTTGATCTTGGAGGAAGGCATTAGGTGTCATCTCGTATTAAATTTAATAATTATAATTTAATTAAATAATTTTAGATTAAACTGGCTGATTGTGTGCCTTGTGTTTGGGTTTACAGGATGGTGGCACTGAATGTGCCTCCCAGTCATCACTGTATTAACAACGATGGTTATGTCATAATGTTTATTTAACATTATGGAGGAGATCAGACCAGCAGTCCTGGTAGTGTAACTGGCAATGCACAGTAAGCAGCAGTTGCGGGTTCACATCCCACTCCGGGCCAATTTTCTTCTTCCAGTTTAATCTAAAATTATTTAATTGAATTATAATTATTAAATTTAATGTGAGATGACACCTAGTGCCTCCTTCTAAGGTCAAATTTATTTGTAATTTATAATTATTATTACTGAATTATAGCCTGATGTTATATGGCAGTTGAAATAGTGTTATTGCAATGTACTGGGTTTAGTAAGATGTCTATTCTTATTAGTAATCTGTAATCATTGCCTATTTTGGATTTAGTCTTTTTAGTCAACAATTGATTTCTTTTGATTTAATAATAATTTATGGCTTTTATTCTCTTCTCTTAAAGTTGAGATAATCTTGAAAATTAGTCAGAATTCTCACATAATAGATTTCATATCTCAGTTTGCATTTCTTAGATATTTGATATTGAAACTTGAGATTTTTAATCATTTGTTGGTAACATGATGATTAAGATATTTTGTCTTAATAACAATACATATTTCAAATTAAGATGGAAACTAATAATAATAAATAAATGTTGAAAAAAATAATAATAAAAATTTTAAGAAACTTTTTCATTTCTGTGTAAACAGTTTTATTATAACACAGAATTAATGAACTGTGTTTCTCATTCAAATATTGAGATGTGTATTCATGGTAAAAATATATATTATATTATTTGTATTCTATGATGTGTATTTATTAGGATTAGAATGAACTTGGAAATATTTAACTCGTCGAGTGTATTATAACTTCATAGAGCTAACCCATGGCATAAGAATTGCAATAGCATACCCTTCAGAAAATTTCAAGAACAGAAATAAAACCATTTCAACATCTGTACCACTATATATTGCACACCTTCAGAGTAGTCATAAAAAGCATGACATTTATTGGTAGGTAATTTATAAGGTAATATCTCAAACATTAGAGAGGGAGAGCCATCTAAATTTCATATATCAAGGATAGAAATATCTACTAAACAACAATTTTTTTTCTCCTATCGCTTTATTACTTGATAAATAAAACAGAAATGTTTAATAAATAGTAATAATAAACAGTACACAGAAGATAGTCACTATTAAGCAGTCATAATGTCTATATATTGTGGTGATCCAGTAGCTTCATGGTACATATCCTAATGATTTAGGCCAGGATTACACTATCAGAGTTGTGTCAAACTGCTGGCCGATTCATGGCTGCTCCTTTAGAGAAATAAAAAGTTTTGATTGCTACATAAAGTCAGGTCATAAATACAAGGATATTTTAAAAGGCACAGCACTTACAGATGCCACTTATAGGGAAATGCCAAATTATGCACAAGACAATACAGCACATCACATTGAATTGCAAGCTTTTAACACAAACTGACTATTTACATTGACATAACCAAATAGCAAATATAATACATGAAAAGCTTAACATAAACTTGTATACACCCAGAAACCATACTACAAATACACACACCTCAGTCATACAACAACAACAACAACAAATATATTATGAGTGAGCCATGGTCAGAGACAAAATCTTTTATCAGAACAGACCTGAAATCACATCTTTTGAAAAACAAAACAAAATCACGTACGTTATAGACATAGCTGTACAATTGTTCATAATATACAAAATACGCATACTGAAAAACTAGTAATTACTCAGAATTTACTTGTGAAATAATAAAGGATTTGTGGAGTATAGATAAGATACTTATTGTACCAATAGTCCTTTATTGCACAAGTGTTAGACCACATACACTAGACAAAAGTCTAGAATTATTTGGGTTTTACAGTAACATATATATCATACTATAGAAGGCTGACATACTAAACATGTATCACATAGTCAGGAAATTCTTAAATACAGGCACACACATGAATAGCACATAAACAAAATACATTGGTACCTTGACTTGCAAGTTTAATTCGTTCCATAAAAGAACCTGTAATTATTCGTATGTCAAATCAATTTTCCCCATTGAAATGTTGTTAATCCATTCCAGACCCCCAAAACACTGCAATTTTTTTGTTACATGTTTTTAAAATAAGAAAAATGTATTCATAAATAATGAATATTGTATAAAAACACAATAGAATGTACTGCAATAAACTGGTTTTGTGGATGTTGCGGTGTTTCCTGCATAGATAAAGAAAGAAAAGATGGAAAATTTGAGAAATGAGAGACAGGGTGCTGCACACAACATGGAAGTGAACTAATGCCTACATCACTTGATCACATGTTTTTCTATAAGCTAGCCTGTCAGACATTAGAAGAGTAATGAAAATGACAAAATTATGGCAGTTTTCCATCTTTTTTCTTAATCTATAGCAGTGTTTCTCAACCTCTAATGAATTGTTGCCCCCTTCAACGTAGTATCACCCCCATCACTACAAAATACCGATGCTTAGGGCAGAGACTAACGCCAAACTCGTACTGCATTGAATAGACTAGTGACTAGTATAATATTATTTGTTTAATTATTGTACGATATAACGAATAAAATATCTAATTATTCTTAATATAATATTTTACTATATCGCCCAGAAAATTGTTTTTTGCCCTTCAAAATACAAATTGTTACTAATCGTCCCCTCAGCATAGAAAAACGCCCACGTGGGGGTGATATCGCCCCGTTGAGAAACACTGATCTGTAGTTTGCTGTGGCATTTGCTGCACCAACTAGCAGTGAGGTATCTGAAGCTGGCTTATAATCTGAATTTCAGCTTACAACTCAAAGCAAAAAATTGGCCAAAAGATGGCTCATATCTTAAAAAACTCGTAAGTTTGAGACCCTTAAGTCCCACTCATAAGTCCCTTGACTTAAGAGTGTCCTAACTTAAGAGTTTTTTGAAAGCCTTGAATTTGGTCCAGCATTGTATTAGTTGCTGGTAAGATAAAATCTAACAACATCATCACCATAATAGTAATATAAATGTTTAACATAAATTCAGAAAAAATTTAATAAAAAATAATGTTAAATTCCATAATATTCAATAATGTGGATTGGGAGTTGATCACTCAGCTGTTATTTGCATACTGCTGTAAGAACTCTCACTAGCAGTTGTATCTGAATTAAGCTTAAAAGTGAAAGAAAAATGCAAAAAAATTATTTGTTTTAGTATATTTAATTTGATTTGTGCTTCTGTTTTGCAAAAGGAGACATGACAAAATGAGCAATCACATACAAATGACAGCAAATGTTGTTTAAAAAAAGATGGTAACTGATAACAGCGAATTATTTTTATATGCTTGCTTGCTTCATTTATTTATTGAAAAGAAAATTCCTAAATTAAAAATAATATTAAGCATGTAATTCTAAAGTGTATTTTTTTGTACATGTCAGGTTTAAATTTTTTTTTATTTGCAGAAATCTGTCATTGAAATAGTGGCAGTTTTTTTACTTTATTAGAGAAGTTTAACATGTTAAAATTTGATTGTGATTCATAAAACTGAAAAATTTGCCAACAAGACTGCCACTTCCAATTGAATATTTATTCTTTTGACTTTTTTATTAAAATCAAGACATTTTAAAATTATTTTCTATATAATTTTTCTGAGTTTATTTTGCTTTATTTTTAACACTACAATTTATCTTTGACTTTATATATATCAAATTTTCTGTATGAGATAATTTTTACTGAATTATTTTGACTACTATTTCTTCAATGTTTTCTATACTGTTTTTGATGATCACTTTTTACTAGAGAAATTTTTCACAAAGAATGTGTGTGTTATTTCTTCTGTTATTCTAAAGAAATCAAATTTTGCTGGAATAGCATAATGTATAGTACAAGTTTTCATTGAGAAAGATACAGATCAACTCATTTTTTATTTGATCTGTATATTTCTCATGAAAAGTTGTTATTAATGAATAAATATTTTAGGAATTATTCACTGTGCTGTTTTAAATTTGATTTGAAAAATTTTTATATAACAGACATCTTATAATCAATTTGATTTTAAAGAGGTAATATACAATAAAAATGAATTTATTGTGTGTGGTGTTTTTTTTCATAATAATTGATAAAATGCCAATATTACAAAAAATTAGACACAATAAACTTACTCTTATATACAATAAAAATGTTATAATATTTTTATAATTTAACATGTGTATAATGTAATTTGAATAAATAGGATAAAAATGTGTATTTTTTTAAAAATGTTAATTGAGAATGAATAGTAAAATTGGTATATTAAACTATTTGATTTCTTTGTAGATATTGTTTGTCATTATCAAGTTTTATTAATTTTTTTTTTTATCATTACAAGAATTCTACTTTAATAAATACAGCAAAACCTGTTTAAAACAGAACCTGAATAAAACAAAAACCTGCCTAGATGGAAAAATTCTTCAGAACATAGCAATTTTCTATGTTTAAAAGAAACCCATTCAAAACAGAAACCTGCTAAACCAAAAAAATATTTGGTACCTTGTGATTTAGGTTTACACAGGTTTTACTGTATATTTAAAAATTTGTGTTAGTTTAATAATATATTAAATAAAACTTATTTCTATTACAATTTTTGTATTGAATATTATCTTGCATTTACAGAATTACGTCATGGAAATATTACTTTGGCAAGGAATGAAAGATCTGAATCTGTTGGACAACATTCAAAAACTGGAATCAGTAACAAGAATAGCTCATCATCCTGTCAAATGGCCGTAGTTTCAGGTCGCACATCATCTAATATATCACAAAGTAATATAAAATCCAATTCTCCAAATCATCCACCTTCCAGGTCTCATATAAAACCTAGTAGTAGCCATTGTCATGGTAACTCCTCCTCCATCCAGTTAAATAGTTCACATAATGCTGTTACAAATTCAAGATCAAAATCAGAAAATCCCAATAAACTGAAAAAGAACAACTCTATGGCACCATTTGTTAGAGTTGAACGGATGCCAGATGATATGTTAAAAACAAACTCAGTTCATGCAGTAAATTCTTTATCAACAGATAAAAATGAGTTACCATCACCTCAACAACCACCACCAAATATTAATATATCTTCTTTATTAAATGTTTCTAATTCTGGAATTACTTCTGGACATGCATCTCCTTCCCAATTATTGCCTTCCAGTTTTTCTTGTGCAATAGACTCTGGATCTTCAAACAGTACTGTGCCCTTAAATTCAATGGGAGGTGATAGTTTATCTGGTGGTGTGAAAAAGCAATCAGGATCAAGTAAGAATAAGAAGGTCCCCAGGGAGAGGAAACTGTTGCTATGTAAAGGTAATTATTCAGTGAAAAGAATGTACTTATTTTTAAAATTAATTTTCCATCTGATAAATTGAAAAATAGAAATTAATGAATAAAAACAGACAATAGTAAATTTTTAAAATTCTTACATGCACACATAACTATTGTTAATTTTAAAATGTTTTAAGGGTAAAAAGAACCAAGATTCATTAGTGTAATAGTGAAAATTAACACTATGCAAGTTTTTTTTTAAGATTAAAATTCTTGAATCAAGGAATTATAGGAAAAACATATTCAAAAATTTTTTAAAATGTTAATTTTTTTTATTTGATGATTTTAATTTAATTTGCTGACACTTTTAGTTGCAAATAGTGATTACAAATGGTACCTCACTTTATAATTGTTTATACATCATTGCATAAAATATTTTTTGCTTATTCAGCAAAAGTTTTTCTTGGATTAAATTAATAAGACACTAATAATGATGTTATGATATGTATAATTATTCAACTATTCATTAATAATCTTACATTTTTATCAGGAGAAATCTGTTTATAAGCATAATAGACATCACTTTTGGATGCTGGTGTTTGAACAGCTCTTGCAGAATTCAACTTTTTTACCTGAAAATTAAATAAAAATTTTATGGTTCTATTGCATTTATTAACACATTTTAATAACTGTTTTCAATTAATGTATAAATGTAACACATTCATTTGCCACATTTCATAACAACAACAACAAAAATTCATATAGTAACATTATAAATATTTTTGAAATACAGTTGACCCCCCTATAACGTGGGTTTCTATAATGGAAATTCCTATAACGTAGCAAAAAAATTGCGGCAGTATTCGTATAAAGGGACTCGTAAAACGTCGTCACCGACTCGTGTCGCAACAAGATTGGTCGAATCTGGACCAATAGTAGATGAGCAGCCGAACTACTTTCCACCGTACAGCGCCACGCTACGGAGAGTTTAGGCGGGTAAATTGAGTTTGCTATCGTCTGTACAGTATTATATATAAATTAGGTACTGTACATATAATTATATATCAATTATATATAAATTAGGTACTGTATATATAATTATATATTAACTTAATTTATTGTAACTTTATTATAATTATATATATATTTTT